TGGCTTGCAGGGTGCTGGCCTTCAGCCGCTATTGCCCCGTGGGCTAGCCAGGAGGGTAGGGCTGCCCCGGCCACCATAAAGGATGCCACCGGGCTAGCAAAATAACCCCCAAAATTGCCCTTTGCAAGCACCTGGGGCCGTGCCTCAGCTATGCAGCACCAGCTCATCGTGATCTGTGATGCCATCATGCTATTTTAAATGCTTCGTATTTGGGGTTACAGTCGTCATTTTTTTCAACAATTTTCTCACATGGGAAATCCTTGGTCCTCAGCCAGCACAGTGAGGAGTGCAAAATCCCCAGGTTCCTGTTGCCTGCAAGATTGGAAATCGCCTGCATATAAAATCAATTAAAAATAATTTTGCACATTAACAAAATAATAAGGAGAAATGACTGATTTTTTTCCCCCTCTTTTTCTCCCTGCTGGGACATGGCGACAGCGAGGCAGGGCCGGGGAGGGCTGTTAGTTCTCACCTGCATGGCCGTGACGGTCTTTAGGCTCTGATTTGTAGAGGTTTTTATTTATTAGCGTGATTTTTGGTACATTTGGGGTAGGAGCCCGTACCTGGTGCTCCCCTCGCATGTGGGGCGGAGGGTTGAACCTGAATGGTGTCTGCAGTGGAGAGCGATTGCTGCGTGGGATGGAGCCCAAAGCTTTCCCAGGCCCAAATTCAACAAAAAAAAAAAAATCACAAAAAAAACCCCCCAACAATTGGAAATTAATATTCAACTACATGGCAGCAGATAAGTGAAGTGAATCAACCTGCGGCAGGGCAGATAAGCGCGAACCTCCAGCCTGGAGGAGCAGCTGCCTGCTGAGGGAGATAACAAGGTCATTGCCAAACAAAACAGCCCCCCACTTCCTCCTCCTCCTCCTCCTCCTCGCTCCCCTCATTGTCTTTCATTCCCGCTCCCAGCCAAGCAAAGCTGTGACAAAAGAGGGGATGCTCACCGTCCCCAGAGCATGGGAGCAAGGCAGGGAGATAACGCAGCTGCTGCCAGAGCACCCCTCCCGGATGGCTTTCGGGAAGGGTACGCTCATTAATACTGATTTAATTCATACCGTGGGCTGCGTGAGCTGGGTCAAGGGGAGCCAGGTGGATCAGGGCTTGCTTGGCTCCCATAACCCATCCCCTGCCCTCCTTGCATTGCCCCGGTCCCCTATGTGCCAGCCAAAGGGGCTGGCGCCGGGGCTTTGCCAGGCTCTGCCGTGCCAGCGGGGGCCAGGCTTCTGCCCAGGCACATAGGAGAAACCAGTCCCGATCCTGTCCCGCCTTGGGACAGGGTTTGGCTGGGATCCCCCTGTCCTGGCTCAGCAGCAGCAACAGTTCCACCCTCACTGTGCCATGCTCGGCAGCCAAGATGATCCCCGTAGACACATTTCAAATATTTCTAAAGTGCTTTTATTTTCCATTCATTCTCTTTTGCCCCCCCAAAAGAAGCAGGCATTTTGCTCCAAAGGGCTTTCCCAGGGAGCCAGCCTGCAATGAGGGCTCTGCAGCCAAGCCCATGACCCCAAAACCTCCCCGTCCTACACCGGGTACCACATCCAGCCATGATGACAGCCCACCGAGCGCTGCCCCACTGCCCCTGGCTCCCGACATTAGGGCTTCACTCCAGCTCCAGACCCTACAAACACCTCTGGGAAAGCAAAGACCTGAATATCTGATGGGGGAGGAAGAAGGGTTGGTTTATCTTCTTCTGCTGTTCCGCCGACAGCGCAGTATTCGGCTCCATAGGCGCAGGGAAGGAGCTTGTTTGTGTGTTTTATTCAGGATAAATCACAGTGCCACAGGGTGCGGAGCCCACCGTTAATAAACCTGACAGCTCCTTGAGGGGTGTAATTGCAGTGGTTTGATAATGAAGGTAATTACTCCAACAGGCTTGGGGCAAAACTGTCTCTCCTGATGGCCGAGGCATTGGAATGGGGAGCAGTGATGTGCAGCCGCCTTCCCCAGTCTGGGCACCCCTGGGTGCAAGGCGATGGGTGCTCTGGCTCTGTGGGAGTCACTGCAGCAAAGTGGCTGGTGGTGGCATTGCCTCTGGGTGGCCTCAGCAACTCCTCCTGACACCTCCTCAGCAGCCCCCACCCCCCCCCCGCACAGCCTCAGGCCATAACCAAGGGCTGGCAGGTTTAACCCTTTACCCCTCACTCCAAATCTGGGGACATGGTACTCCTCCTACCCCCAGCAGCAAGCCCCCATGCACGGGGGTCACCCAGAGCAGCGGCAGTGTATGGCTGCAGCACACCAGTGACCCCAGAGCAAGCACGGCACTGCCTTTATCCACGGCAAAGCAGCTAAAACCCCCAGAGTTTCTCCACCGTACGATCTCGTACGATCTCCTGCCTATATAGAGGGCACACCCCTGCCTATACCCCGGCGTATGGCTGGTCGGGGCAGGAGGTGGTGGGGTCAGTGGTGGTGCTCCGGCTGCTGGTCCATGGACCCCGAGCCCCTTGGGCTGTTGGGTACCTGTACCTGAACCTTCTTGGTCAGCAGCTCCTCGCAGGGAGGTGGCAGGGGCCGCTTCAGCCTCTTGGTGGAGGAGCTGGCCGTGTCTTCTGCTGCCTCACTGAGCTGTGTCCCCAGCTCATGCTGGGGCTCCGGGGGCTGGTAGCCCGTCTGGTTGGGATCCAGGGGGTCTCGGGAGAGGAGGATGCAGATGGAGGGGACGTTCTTGTGGACGGTCAGGTTCTGCGCCGGGCCACCAGGCAGCGGGTCCTGGTTCTCCCAGACCTCCATCAAGGTTTTGTAGCGCACCTTGGTGACCTGGTGAAGACCTCCCAGCTTCCGCTTCATGATCTCCACGCAGGTGATGGTCTTGGTGACTGCCCTGCCACAGCCACTGAAGACGATCTGCCGGCTGCCCTTCAGCTCCATCTGGGCCATGGCAAAGTTCATCAGGTTCCTGATCTTGCTGCCCTCCTTGACTTTCATCTCCACCACATCTGGGGGCAGGTCAGGGAAGGGCAAGGGGCTCTCCTCCTCCGAGGTCCTCACCTTTCGGAAGTTCTCCATCCTGGACTGGGCGATGGGCTTGGCTCCCCCTCCTTCGGCAGCCATCCTTCGCCCCTTCCCAAGGGATCAGCTCGTGCTCCTAGCCCCCTGCGACCATGGCAGGGCTGACTCCGCTGCCCTCCAGCCCAGCCCGCAGGAGGGCTGGGTTTAACCCTGCGTCCCCAGGACAACCAGCCCCTTCCCTGCTCCTCACCCGGGGCTGGCTCCAGAGGAGCTGGCAGCAGGGTTGGTCGTCGTGCCGGAGGCTGTTCCCCGGGGGGGACAGGGCTGCAGGATTCCCTGGGTGCCCCCAGTCACTCCCAGCTGAGAGGATGGCTGGCTCTGGCTCTCGGTGATGCTTGGGTTCCTCCGCTCCCACTGCAGCACTCGCTTCTGCTGCTCTTTGCTTCATTCTGGACTTCAGCAGCCCCCAGAGCTGTTCTGTGTAATTAGCAGATCCTCCCCCTCTCCCTCCCCTCCTCCTCCTCCTCCCCTCGCTCAGCCTCCCATCCCAGCACCCAGCTCCTGCCTTCATCCCTGCCCAGCACCGAGAGTGCCGGGGAAAGCAAAGGGGAGGGCAGGGAGCCCAGGTCCCTGGCTGGGTGCATGCAGGCAGGGAAGCAGCAGGCAGGGAAGGGAAGGAGGGGAAGGTGGAAGGCAGAGGGAGAAGCTCACTCTTGCCTTCATGATGCTCCCAGAGTCCTGCCCCCTTAAAGAGAACCTGGTCCCTTCTCCCGGCCCTTGCTGGGCTCAAGGACGCTAAGTGCGAATGCCAGCAGAGCACGGGCAGCCGGCTGGCCTGCTTCCCTGCCTGCCCCCTCTCCCCAGCAGCATCCCCAGAGGGCCCAGGAATCCCAGCCACGCTGCGCCCCAGGGATGGCACGGAGATGCAGGAGGTACTTTGGGAAAGCTGGCAGGCTCAGCTCAGCCCTTGTTAGCCATCAGAGAAGCCACTGGGACCCGCAGATCCTGGCAGATGGCATCGCGGGTTTTCATGGGGCATTTCTCTCCCTCCCATGCCCACCGTGGAGTCACTGTCGTATTTACTGCCAACACATCCCAGGAGATCCCCATCACAGACCAGATCTTCCCTTGCTGCCCCAGTCCCTTCCCCGGGCAGAGGCGATGTCCCTGTCCCAGGCTGGCCCTCCACCTGCCCCTGTCCCCTGCCTGCCCCCAGCACCCCCAGCCTCCCACCCTGCTGGCTGGGGGATCATTGCACAGTGGAAAGACATGCCGAGTATTGACTTGCAGTCAAATCTTACTGGCCTCTGGAGGCCCCTGGATTGTTTTCCCTCTGAGCAGGGCTTGAAAAAATACATAAATAAATGAATCAATCGATCCCACGTCTGCAGAGGTGAAGGCTGTGGCAAGGCGGGATGCGGCCATCCCCTCCCGGCTGGGGCAAGCCCCTGCATCCCTGTGGTCCCCAGAGCAGCTTTCTCTATGGGGCACCCCCTGATCCGACCACCAGACGAGGGCCGGGGGGGGGTGGTGTCTGTGGGTGATGGGAGCACCAGTGTCTCACCCACGTGCAATGGGATGCTCTGTCTCAGAGCAGTGCCCTGCTGCACTGGAAAACCCAAGGGGATGGGAGAGCACCTTTTCCTAATCCAGCCAACACCCTGTGAGGCCCCTTTGGCACAGAGGGGAAAAGTGAGGCAGGGCACGCCACACTCCCAGGTTCACCCCCAGTGCCAGATTTGGGCTTTGAGCATCCCCCAAGTCCTGCCCGGCGCTCTGCTGTAGTGAGCACACCTAGTTGCCGCGCTTCCACCATGAATCCCTTGCTCGTATGAGTCAAAATTATGTCATTTTCCCCATTTCACTTGATGACTGTTTGTGGCATCCTTGCAGAAAGCACTGGGTTCCTTCCTTGGGCAGGCAGGGATGGATTAAGCCTCTCAGGGAAATTGCTGCCTTCGAAAGATGCTGAAACCTTAGGAAAATAATTGGGAAGGATTTTAGCAACTGTGCGCCAAATGCGTGTGGTTGAGGGAGCTGAGAAATCCCCCCCAAGTTGTTATTCGGGTGTGCAAACCGCTGCTGGTGGCACGGGAGGGTTATGTGGCCACCGAGGGCCGGCAGCGCCGGGGCTGCAGGCGAGCCTGGGCTGCTCAGTGCTGAGCTCGCAGCCGGCTGAATCCTTGGTGCTGGATGAACCATCCAGCCCTTCTTTCCTGGCCCAGGACCAGCGCTTGCCTCCCATGGCCCATTTTTCATAGCGTCGGGGCGCCTTCCCCACCTATAGATGGAAGCAGCAGCAGCTTCTCCCCCTCCTGCCACCGCTGCCGCCTCTAATTGCTGCTTAACAAACCCTGCTTATTGCAGCCTCCGAAATGGAGGCGAGGCGCAATCACAGCCAAGCCTTTCTGCATCCCCCAAAGGGCTGCGGAGGGTGCACTCCCCCCAAGGCAAAGGCTGCGGCAGCGGGGGGGGAGGGGCATTAATGACAGGGTCTTGTTTTTCCTCTCCAGTGCTTAAAATGTAAATGAAATTCATTATTAGCAACTCCCTTGTCTAATTACCATCTGAAGCCATTCATTAGCCTGTCAGCTTATTTGTTGGAGGACAACAGAGTGGATCGGTTATTCCAAGCAAAGGAATAGCTGAAATGAGCTCAGCCGCAGGGAACGGCAGGGTGGGAGAGGGAGGAGAGCAGGGATGGGGGGACAAAGGCAGAGCGGTGGAGAAAACGGGGAAAACCACTGAGAAAGAGGATGAGGAGTTGTTTAAAATGGGGAAGAGGCAAATAGTAAAGGCAGGAAGGAAGAAAAAATAAGAATAAAGCAATTACACCCTGCATATCGCCTGCCTGTCCTCCCTCAGCACCCGCTCTGGTCACACCGGGACCCAGGGACCAGTTTCTTCCTCCCTTTCTCCATTACAGTTTCTCTCTGAGCATCCCACGTCCCAGTGACACTGGCTGCCAGCACCCCACAGGGCTGGGGGTCCTATCCCATCTCAGGGGAAGGGTCCCCATCCCTGCAGGACCCTCTTGCCTGGCCCCAACCCCACAGGGGGTGTGAGGGTAGAAGGGACATTTGGCAGAGGAGCCAAGCAGGGAGGGCTGGCAGGGATGGAGAGGGCTGCAGGGGATGACAGCGCAGAGCCAGAGCTGACAGCAGCCCCAGCCAAACCTGAGAAAGGGGGGGAAAAAAATGGAGAAGACAGCAGCTGGAGAGGAGCAGTAACCCGAGCCCCTGTCCTCCACCTGCCCTCTCTATATTTTCTTTCATCCGAGGTGGCCCTACATGGGAGTGGGTCGGAAAGTCGAAGCATCTGATACAAGGAAAGTCTCGCTGCCGACATCCATCTCTGCGTCACATCGGCCTGGCTCAGGTCTCAGGCACTCATCACATTGCACTCGGCGGCAGGCCGATGAAGCCACTGGGACCAGGTCCCATAGGATGCAACCCCAAGCCTCCCCAGGGTGCAGGGACTGCCTCAAAGTGCCAGAGAAACCCTAGGAGCATACTAGGGTGGCACCAGCTCTTTCCTAACTGAACTAGCACCTACCATAAACAGAAAACAGCAGAGCTCAAGATAATCTTAATTCAATAAAAGAAAAGGGGGGGAAAAAAACCTTCTACGGGGCAAGTCCCTTCACAGAGCTGCAGTACAACAAGCAGGGAAACACTATAAGGGCCCTGAGGGCGTTAATAAACCCTAATGGTCCTGACCAGCCCCACCTGAGACCCCCCACCCACATCCTGCCCCTGGCCCAGGAGCTCTGTTTAAGCTCAGCCTAGGGCATTTAGTCCTAGTTTGAGCTGTGTTGTGGATGGTCTCTGGCTTAGCTGTAGCTATCCTGATGCCTGGTCTCTGCTGCTTGGGACTGTAACCTGTGTACTGACCCTGGGCTTGACCTGCAGATTGACTTTATGGCTTGACTTTGAACCTGTCACTTTGCTGTGAACTTGGGGCTTGATCTGGACTTGTGGTTGAACCTGACCATCCTCCTCCTGCTGCCTTGCTCAGGTAACATGGGATGGGCACTGGGTAGCTAGGGTTTTACCCTGGCCTTGTGTTATGCCCTTAGCTCCCCAGACATCCCCCATGAGCAAGGGGAGCAGGCATCCATTTGATTTCTGAAGATCTCTGCTTGTAAAGCTGACAGGCAGATAGAAATGTGGTAGTGTCAAGGGTGAGGAACAACTCTGCAGTTGGCTGTCCCCAAAATATCAATGAGATGGGAAGGCACTGGGGGACCTAAAGCAGTGAAGAAGCAGTTAGAGAGCAAATCCATAGCAGAGAAAGCTCCAAAGATGAGAAATAAGGATGGTAAAATGGGGACTGAGTTGAGGCTGCTGAGAAATCCTCCCCAGGGAGTGGGGCTGCGGTTATCCAAATCCCCAGAGTGCTTGGTGCCCATGGGGTAGGCAGGTGCCTGCGGGCAGGTCAGGGCAGGGCTGGTACACCACTCCAGGTCTTGGAGCACCCCCATGAGCAGCAGCCCAAGTGGGGACCCACAACCCCCTCCACTTCTTCCCTTGCTATTGGTGTTCCCAGCCCTTGCTCTCCCACTGTTGTGCAGGGGATGGAGCTGGATGCACAGGGGTCCTGCTCTCTGCAGGGATCAGCAGCTCAGGGTCTGAGGCCAGAAGGTGCTTAGAGTGGGCAGCTGGGCCCTCAGATATGGGGTCATCTGTGGCATGCTTATTTTCCTGCTCCCCTCTATTTTGCCATATGTGAATTAGGTGTTTTCCCTGTTTCTGCCAGGTTTTCTTCCTAGCATTCCTACAGAGTGATGCTGTTCATCTGCCAATGGTGTTTGGCAACCAGGGCTGGCATATGCAGAGATTTAGGTGCTTCCCTGCCTTTCTCTTTGCACCTTCCCATGGTGGGATGTTGTCCTTGCTGACCCTCTGTGCCCCATAAAGCATGACAGTGTGCTGATGCTCGAGGTTGGACCCTGGGAAGGGAGGATGATTTAGTTGTTACGTAAAGCCAGTTTTGTGACATGGCACTGGCATGCTTGCCAAGCATGGAGGCAGGAGGTCCAAGTCGCCTGCACAGGGCTCCTTGAGATGATGCTGAGGATGAGGGACACTGCCTATGGAGTC